GGCTGTTTTTGGGGTGCAGGCTCTGGGATGTAGTTGGGGTGCAGGAGGGTTGCAGGCTATGGGGAGTTTGAGTGAAGTGTGCAGGCTCTGACCTGGGGCAGGGGTTTGGGGTGCAGGAGGGGGTGCGGACATGTGGGCTCTGGGAGGGAGTTAGCAATTCAGCACATTATATAAAAGAAAGGAGCTGCAGTGATTTCATATAGACATGGAAACTGATAGAAGACACTTTTACATATTCAAAATGTGAGAGGCAGAGTTTGAGGGAGGGGGTGTCTGTACAATATTTCACCGCATTCAGTCTCCTGGCTGGAGCAGTAACGTAGCCCCGCAGCCCTTGTATCAGACAGAGAGGAGCTGTGGTGTCTAAGCTTTGACAGTCTAGGAATTGGGCTGCTTATGCCTTTAAGTCCCCAGCCCCAGGAACCTGCCCTCTGCTCTGGGGCTGACATGCAGCATCCTGTGAGCAGAACGAAAACAGCCTCTGCATCCCCCACACCCCTAGATTAGCGAGCACAGCACGTGGCTCATCCCGCGGGGTCACTGTTCCCCCCTCCCCCTCCCTAAACGGGGGTTTTGTCCCGCCAAGGGGTCTGACAGCGTCTCCCCCGGGGCTTAACCTCGGCTACCACCCCCCACCCCCGATTTTTCCCCTTCAGCCCCTCTCCTGCCGCTACCTACAGTAGCTTGATACCCCCCTGGCCAGTAAATTTCTGTCCCCTGCTCAGACCCTGACAGCCCCCCTGCTGCGATTTGCCCCCTTTGGTCCTTTTAAACCCCTCCAACGTGCAGGCAGCAAATCGTAAGTAGAATTAAAGGCAGAGAGAGGCCAGTGGCAACAGCGAAGATTACTGGGCATGCTCAGTTCGGGTGAGCATGCTCAGTGCACCCGAACTAGGGAGCGGGGCAGCGTGACCGCTAGGGGCTCCCGTGAGCGGCGGTTACCTCAGAGCCGGGGAGATGGCCGGGGCGAGCGGCCGGGGGGACCCGCTGGCGTTGGAGGAGCCTCCCCTGCCCAGGCCCTCCCAGCCGGAGAGCCGCTTGGGTGACCAGGATGGGCTCGCGCAGGTGGGGGCGGGGAGCGGACGGTTTCCTGCCCAGGGGAAGGCGGTGCCCTGGCTGAGAGACCGGGAGGTCGGGTGAGCGCCGGGGGGAGGGGTGTGACAGCTGGGGGAGGGGTGTCTCGGTACCTGGGAGTGGGGGTAAGAGCAGGGTGGGTGAGAGACGGGATGTGTGTGTCTCAGTGCCTGGGGGGTAGGGTGAGTGAGAGTGCGTGTGTGTGTGTGTGTGTGTGTGTGTGGTGGGGGGGGGTCTCAGTGCCTGAGGCAGGGATATGGGAGAGGCAGGTCTCAGGGGGCGGGTGGGAGAATTCTTTTGTGTGTGGGTGGAGAGGGTATCTCAGTGCCCCAAGAGTTGGGGGGAATCAGTAGGAGCACTACTGGGATGAGCTGCAGACTGCCCTGTTCCTATAGGGCCAATGCATGCCAGAGGCT